CCCACAGTCACACACCTGGGACCAGAGGCCAGGTCTCCTGATTTCAGGCCACTGATCTTCCTACCGCATTGGCAGTCATGGATGGCCAAATGGAAGAGGAGGAAAGCTGGAGAACCTGGCTTATCTTAGTAGCTACCCAGGCCCCTTCCCATCAAGGATCTTAAATATAAGGATCAGATACCCAACTAGAGACACACCCAAGAAGAAACAGGGAAGATACAGACTCCATGGTCCACTGGCCTCAGTGCGGGGGAAATAAGTTGCCAGGACACCAGGAACTTAGACTGTCCTAGGGAGCTATGGAGGCTGCCTTCCTCAACTGCAGAACAGAAATAGCCATCCTGCATGCAGGAGTCCTGCGTGTTCACCCAGCTTGGGCTGAGAACACTGCCCCTTCTCTGGCTTCTAGTTCACCCACACTTTCCTTTAGAAAGTTCTTTCCTATCACCAAGAATTCTCACCAAGCTCTAGGAAAAGAGTCTACGTTATCATATGTTCTCATTCAACAAACGTTTATTAAGCATCTCCTGGGTACCAGATGGGGCTTCCCAGGTGGTGCTGTGGTAAAGAACCCGACTGCCAATGCAGGAGATGCAAGAGACACGGGTTCAATCCCTGGGTCAGGAAGATCCCCTGGATTAGGAAATGACAACCCTTTCCAGTATTCTTGCCTGGAAAATTCCATGGATAGAGCAGTCTGGTAGGCTACAGTCCACAGGGTCTCAAAGAGTGGGGCATGACTGAGCATGCATGCACGTAGCATGTAGTGTACTAGATACTAAGCTAGGCCCTGGGGAAATAAAGATGGAACAGACACAGTTGTTCTTCTCAAGAGCTCATCATCTGAAGGTCCTATTCATGTACAAGTGCTTGCTCATGGGTCTAATAGCCTCATGTGGACAGTGGGCATATTTCTAAACCCCAACTCCCAACATATGGTCCAAAAAAAATTGCTTTTCTAGGTTGCGACTGTGCTATATGAACATCTTTAAAAGGCCTGAAAGTTAAATTGCTTTCATAAGTCTAACAAATTTCCTTTACTGAAAAGAAATAAAATATATTAAATCAGGTTTTTTTTTAAGAAAAATCTGCATTATATGTTCATCAAACCCGTATGTGTTAACTTGTAAAACCTTGTAATCATAGGCTATTGCAGTTGGAAAGGATCTGAAATAACACCTAAGCCAGTAGCTTTGAATTTTTTAATTTTAATTTTTAAACAATGAAACATGTTTCAAGCCAAATATCACCCAATGTTCCCAAATACAAAACAGTTAAAACTGCACCTACTTTGGTCAGAGGAGAAATGGAGAGCTCAGGAGAGTCTTCTCTTCTAAACTCCCTCACCCCTCCCACCACCTCTGTTCCCACAGATTTTGGAACTGCACCCCACAAAAAGGACTGTCCAACCACCCATTATGTCCCAAAATGGGGACACTGAGATCCAAGGGGAATATGACCTCATTCTGATTATCCTTATGAAAGCGTCTTATTTAATGAGAGTCCTGTTTCCCAATAAGGTCATGTTCTGAGATACTAGGAGCTAGGACTTCAACATATGAACTGCGGAGTCAGGGCAGAGGGAACACAATTCAACCCACAGCGCCGCTTCCTGCCTTCTCCGGGTGAAGGTCCCCCATACCAGATCCTTAAGGGAGAGTCAGGAGCCCGTTTGACCACTGCTGGGAAGAAGTCAGGGGAGAGTCGGTGCACAGACAGATGTCCTCGGGGACGCTAGAGAGGGTGGCCCCAGGCTGGGGAGAGGGATTAGCCTTAGCGGGAGGGGAGACACTTCCTGTATTGTCAGAAGGAGGTAGAGGGGAGAAAGGGATGGCTGTGCATGCAAAATGATATACAAATATGGAGGAGGGAAGTCAAGGGAGTAGCTTCAGATGGCCCAGCTTTCTTCATGAAGCAGGCGGGGAGACTGCCTGGGGAGGCTGGGGTTGGGGCTCAGTAGACGGACAGGAAGTGGAACCAGAGACTTGAGGAAGGTAGAGACAGTTTGAAAGAGCCGTGTGCATAACGAACAGTAGTCAGCCCTGTCTTGAGTAGGCGCCCAGCACATCATTACAGAAGGTCTGGTATCATTGCATTAGGAAAATGGTAGACAGGGTGGCAAGCTGAGCAGGGGAAGAGAAGAAGGGCTGCCTGACAGTAACCAGGGTCCAGATGGCATCAGTGACCAAAGTTTATAGAGGCACCATCTGCAGGGTGTGAGGTTTTTCCAGCCATGCTTCAACAGCTGGGAGATTGATGTAGAGAAAGTAAACAACTGTGTTGATCCAAATCTAGGCTTTGCCCAGGAGGCTGCTTTAGCAGGACAAAGGGGCAAGGAGACTGAGGAGGTCTGCAAGAGGAGGGTGAAGTGGGGAGGAAGCTCAGAGGCCAGGTGGGTAGAGAAGCCAGTGGGCAGTGAGCAGGCTGTGCTATTTCTGCGGAAGAGCCTTGCACGTGCCCCTTGCTCTCTGTTGACGGGAGCACATGGTCACTCCTGCCTGCTGGAGGAGCAAACGCTGCCAGATGAGACCACGAAGGAGCTGTGAGCGGACAGTCTCCTCAGCTGTTCCTCCTGCTCTAAGGTGGTCCTGACTGGCCCCAGCTGGGTAATTCAGCGACTTGCAGCCAGCCGCAAGGGGTAGGGTGTGCCCTCGGGACACACATACCCCTATGGAAGGATGAGAGGTCAGCACCAGCTGGTGTATTGATTCAACCCCTACGTCAGTTTTCTAATCTCGATGTTATTTTTAAATGCTGTATGGGTCAATTCTGTTTATTGGGATTTTTATTACTGTGACTCTTCCAAGGCCACAGATCTTCTCTTAATGTACATTAGCAGTCAACTTAGAACTCCAAGTTACTAGAATCAATGAATTTCACATCCGTAATGCCGAGTGGAAAAAAACAACATAAATACCTACTGTGTGATATGTCCTGCCTTTAAAGAAAAAGAAAGTTGTGTTAGGAAAGGCACTGGATGGCTTCTGGGGTCCTGGCAGTGTTCTATATCTTGACCCGGGTGCGGTTACATTTATGATAGTTTATTAAGCTCTACATTGTTTTATACAGTTTTCCGCACATGTGTCATATTTCACAATAAAGAATTAATGGAATCTCTCTATATACATTCTATCCATGGTGCTGCAGTTTATGGGATCCCCACAGACCGATCAGCTCTGAGTGGCTGCCTTTAAGCTCAGACACCTCGGGCAGTTGAAATGCCTCCAGGGCCGAAGACCTCAGTGAGAAGTGGACCCTCTCACGGCTGGTTCTCTCCACTGTCCAGACTGAGATCCTTGAGCAGCAAGGATGAGTGCAGGCAGAGCCCGTGAGTTAGGGGCCTGGGTCCTCCTGCCTGGCCACTGCGAGTGCCCCAGAGGGAAGTCTTCTTGCTCTTAACCGAGATTACAAATATCATGTTTATCAAACAAACTACAGGATGACGTTCCCATCCTAAGAGAAGGGAGAGGCAGCCAGCTCCCTATCACCCTCCAGTTGGAAAGCACTTCTAGGAAGACTTCTCTGCCTCAAGGCAGCTTATAGGTTCGTTACACAGTTCACCAAGCTTCTACAATGTCTTAGACACAATCCTTATTTTTCTGCTCCACAGTTTAAAACATCCATTTAGTTTTGATTTTTAATTCTTGATGTGAAAAACACTTTCCTTTTACAAAGATTCAGATTCCTGATTCTCAAAAAGACTTCCAAATGCCCCACATGGTTTAAGTATCAAGAGTTTTTCTAAAAATATATATTTCAACTACAATCCATAAAGATACACACATACCTCATCCAAAAACTGAACCTTATGGCTAAGAGATGATGAACGGGAAGTAAAAAAAAACTGGCCAGTACTAACCAACCAAAAGCCCAGGCAATTTTTTTTTTTTTTTTTTTTTGCAAAAAATCAAATCCCGGGCTTTGTATCTGAGCTGTTTAAAAGGTCCATCGTCAAAGGACCAGTTTTCCTCATTTTGGAGAAACAAGAAAAGCATATGGTTCCAGGGACCTTCGCAAGTTGATGCCAAAAAGTGGAGCCAGGCACATTTAGTGGCTTCAAGATCATCAAAGGAACAGCATGTTGGATTAGTTTAAAGGGGAATGGGGGCGTCTCAGGTGGCTCAGTGGTGAAGAATCCGCCTGCCAAGCAGAAGACGCAGGTTCAAACCCTGGGTCAGGAAGATCCCCTGAAGGAAATGGCAGCCCTGTCCGGTATCCTTGCCTGGAGAATCCCATGGACAGAGGAGCCTGGCGGGCCACAGTCCATGGGGTCGCGAAGGGTCGGACACGACTGAGTGGCTGAGCAGCAGCAAGTGAGGCAGTGAGGTTGGGGGAGAAAAACAAGGGCGATCAGTGGCAGATAAAGTTGCAGATTACAGACAATGAAGGGTCCCTCATTGCTGCCATTTTACCCCAGTAAGAAACGCCTGGCTAACATCTACCCATTGTGCAAGACTCCAGCCAAAGTTTACCTTTTCCCTCCTTGGTCCACTCACCAGACCCACGTTGTATTCTGCCAGAATTTCTGGAACATTTTATAGGACCAGATTGTTTCGTTTGCCCTCCTAGACTGTGAGCTCTTTGAGAACAGGATCGTATTTTATGCATCTTTAAGGTTTCAGCAAATGCATAATAAAAACTCCATAAATATTACCCTTGACTACATGAATGAATGATGTATTTCATTAATGAGACTACTCCATTAGCGAAACTATGGATTCTATTAACAAGATTTCCAGCTCCTGTGATGCCACCATTAAGTGACGAAAAGCACCTTGGCCTCTGCCAGAGTTTGCCCACTCTTTTTAACTTCTCTTTTCAGGCCCAGGAAGCTGTGAGCTCCCTGATGTCATACACTGGCATGAGAACGCCGTGTGTTCTTTAAGTAGAGCTATGAAAACGAAGAACCCAATCAGCCAGCTAAAACACTGGGATCATCCTTTTCAAGACCCAGAGCTCCAGCATTCTTTGGCTTAAGAGACAGAGAGGCACCTGGGAAAATGTGGGCAAGGGTGAGTACTGTTGAAAAAACCACGCATTATGTGTGGTCCAACTCAGATGAATGTGTTTGAAACAGTAATAGAAATGGTAGTCCATTCCCACCCAGGATTGCAACTAACACTTGAAACTGAAAGGTTGATGTTAGGCCCCCAGATTTTGCTCTTTTGGGTGAATCTTTTTACATGGATGTGCTGATGCCAACAGAAAATCCCCTTCCATTCAGAAATCTCAGGGGAAGAATCTTTTGGGGCAGAGGTAGAATATTCCACCTCGTGTAGTAATACCCAAGCAAGTCTTGAGGTTGCACTTCTGAACTGATCAGAAGCTGATCACCTAGGTCATTGGTCCCCAACCGTTTTGGGCACCAGGCACCGGTTTCATGGAAAACAATTTTTCCACGGACCAGGGGTGGGGGATGGGGATGCTGTCAGGATGATTCAAGTACATTACATTTATTGTGCACTTTATTTCTATTATCATTAAATCAGCTCCACCTCAGATCATCAGGCATTAGATCCTGAAGGTTGGGGACCCCTGACCTAGGTTACCAATTAGCCAGTCCTCTGGTGTCTCCTCTCTCTGTCTGCCAGTCGTCTCTAAACCAATCCTTTTCCACTCAGCCGTTCCATAAGAAAACATGTTGGCCTAGGGTGGAGGTTAGGGTTAAAAGAATCCATCCTCCTATTGAACCAAGGCTTGCTAAGGTTTTATGGAAACTAAGGAGAAGAAGTGACATGTAATTGCACCTATTAATTGACTTCTAGTGGAAGGAGGCAGCATGCTCTTGCGTGATACCCTTGCAGGCAGACCTGGATTTAAGCCTCACTCCACTAACCTGAGACTTTTGAATCTGTTTTCAAGTTTATAAAATGGTGATAGGAGGACTGTCTTGAGAGGATGAAATGAGAACGTGTACATAGAGTAACTTGTGCTCAATGGAAAAAAACTTAATTCCTTTATGGGTTGGGATCAGTAATCTGTTGTCTCTGTCACATGAGAACTAATCATCACCACAAATAAGAAATCTCCAGGCAGTGGTGGGAGTCCATATACAGGTAAAGGGCTATTGGTGAAGCAAAATGACAAATACATTCTTAAAATATTTTAAGTAATAAAAGGATTTCTTTTATTCAACCAGCTAGGTTGTCATATCACTGCACTGTTTGAAAGCTAAAAGCCTATTAAAAGTCTCCCCTAGTCCAAAGGTTCTATGACAAAACTCTGTGACAGAACTGGACACTTGGAGGCCTCCACCCAAGTATGAATTTAAACTGGAGCAAATTACGTTTGTGATTCCTCAAGTCATTCAATGTGAATTAATTTCTTAATGAAAAGTGAAATAAAAAATCACCTCCTCTCATTTTTTTCTACCTACTCAGCCAGTTTTCCTAAAGTGAGACAAAAGCAGAGGAAGGAAAGAGGAGAGAAAGAGAGAAAAAAAGAAAGAAAATGAGGAAGAAAAGGAGGAGGGAAGAAGGGGAGACCGTCCCCTCTAAAGCAAGGTGCATTTCATTTCATTTCAGTCCCTGCAGTGAGTATTAGCTCTGGGGTATTTCAAATACAGGTTGCTTCTCAGTTCTTGGTACCCTCAACTTGAAAACCAGACACTCCGACCACCTGGAATCCTCAATTTGCTTTAGAACTATCTCCATTCAGAGTCCACGGGTCCTTTGAGATCATTAATTTCATCACTTGGGAGTGATTTTTTTTCTCATCTTTGAAGTTTATTTAAAATATTCCATACAGACACACACATTTACATGACAGTAGACTACATAGGGTGTAAATATTTGGCAATTCTCAGTGTCACCTATTAAAAAGGAGCGTTTATTCCTGGTTGTCAGGGCTTCCTAAGGATATATTCCTGCTGCTCTTCGGGGAGAAGGGGAGACAGTGTGCTGGCTACACAAACAGCCGTGAAGTCAGACTGCCCGATTTGAATCCCAGCCCTGCCACTGATGAGTAGTAGGACTTTGAACAAGTTATTTAACCTCTCTTTGCCTCAGTTTATTCATCTATAAAATGGGGGTGAGAATAGTATCTACCTCAAGGGGTCCTCTTGACGACTACGTATGTAAAGTGCTTAGAATTGCGTTTGGCAAGCCCTCCAGTCAGACCTGGCAAGAGTGTGGGGGCCGCTTCCCAGGTGGCGCTAGTGGTAAAGAACCCACCTGCCAATGCAGGAAACACAAGAGACACGGCTTCGATCCCCGAGCTGGGAGATCGCCTGGAGTAGGAAATGGCAACCCATTCCAGTCTTCTTGCCTGGAGAATCCCCGTGGACAGAGGAGCCTGGCTGGCTCCGGTTTGCAGGGTGGCAGAGGGTCGGACAGGACTGAGCTCCTGAGCACACCCACCAACCAGTGAGACCTGGGGTCCTGCAGCACAGACGGAATAAAGTCTGTGCAGCTAAACTAAACCACCGGAGTGGGAAGGCGGGAGGAGCAGAGCCTAAGGAAAGCTGGAGAGACGACAGACCTTTGGGAGTCAGGCTTACGCTGCCGTGGCTGATCTCCTGAGACCCCTCAGGCTGCGGTTTTTCTGGCTCCAAGAGCGACAGTGAAGACCCCATGAGCCTGTGGCCCAAAACAGGTTGTTTGGGGAGACCTGTGCGAAATCCATAAACACTCCTAAAAGAAGCACTTCCCAAAGAGCTCAGCAAACACCGGCAGGCCCTGAAGCAGCCCTGCAAATATCAGCGTGAGGACAAAGTGGAGGGGCTTCCCTGGGGGGCCGGTGGCTAAGACTCTGCTCCCAGTGCAGGGGGCCCGGGTTCTACCCCCGGTCCGGGAGCCAGATCCTGCCTGCCGCAACGAAGACCCGGCGTTTTCAAATAAATCAATATATATTTACTAAAAAAAAAGAAAGTGGAGAACGCAGCTCCCGCCTGGAGGGCCAGCTGAAGGCCACAGAGGCCAGCGGGCAGCCTTCTTCTGCATCCCGCTGGAGTCAGTGTATGTGTGGGGGGCAGCTGGTCAAGCCCCCAGACCCACTTGACACCCTTCCCTAGTCTCTTGATCTCAGCCACGGTGGGGTATTTACGGCACAGAAATCGGCAGAAACTGCTTCGTGTTGTTTTGTGTTTAGTAAGCTGGGAGTTAAACATTCCCCAACACACTGCTGGGGGAGAGTCAAAGGCTAGCTCGGAAAAAAACTGAAAGAAAAAAACCCTTTAAACTGCAAAGCTTTTTCTCTGGCGTCCCTGACTCTTCCCCTTTGTGTGAAGGCAGGAAGCTGGCAGTTGGACATGGTTTGTTAGGGTTTCTCTAAAGAAGAAAGCCAGACCGAATCTTTGCTTCACAGAGGCCAGAAAAGCGTTGACTGACAGAACTTGAAAATGGTGTCCTTTTTTCCCATTAAATATAAGTTCACTCCGGGTCCAAACTAGTTGTCAGACGGTGGATTTATAGGCTTGTGATAAATGTCCTAAAAAGGAAAATACATTGAAGTGGGGGTAGTTCACATACTCTTTTTTCACCTCTTTAAAAATATGATTATTTTGACATATTTTAGAGAATATGAAAGCTGTCTACTGGGGATTATTACCTTACCTCCTCCCATCTAAAAAGACAATTTAAGTTGTTCAGATTTCTGAGTTGTTCTTGAGAGTAAAGATGAAAGAAGGGGGAAAGAAATGAAGTACCTCGAAATCTGCCTTTATTAGTCCACAGGGGCAGCCCGGGTGACTTCTCAGAAACGTATGTTCTCGTGGTTCTGGAGGCGGGAAGTCCAGGTTCAAGCTGTCAGCAGGTCTGGTTTCTCCTGAGGCCTCTCTCCTTGGCTTGTAGGTGGCCATCTTTTCCCTGAGTCCTCCGTGGTCTCCTCTCTCTGCGTGCCTGTGTTATCTCTTCTTACAAGGACACCAGTCCGACTGGAGTAGCATCCGCTCTGATGGCCTCATTGACCCTTCATCACCTCTTCAAAGACCTTATCTCCAGGCCAAGGCGCATTCTGAGACGTGGGGAGCTGGGACCTCAACATATGAATTTGGAAAGGCGCATGAGCCCATAACCCTGACTAAACACAAACATCATGTATCCGCAGGGAAAAGTTGGTTTAACAGCCTCATGGGTCGAGTTCCCAGGGGAGCAAACTCTGGAAAGGTGGAGAATGGCGTGCAGGGGGTGATGGGGAGCCGTCTCGGGAATATGTCCGAGCAGTGAAGGCAGCAGGATTTAGGCGGAGAGAGGGCAGGACCGCAGCGCAGTCACGGTAAAGGCCCCGACGAAGCGCACAGACCCTCTGGGCTGGCCCTTCCGAGTGTCCAGAACTGAAGCCAATGGGTAGACCAGCCTCAGGGGGCAGACTGCCCCAGGGAGGAGGCATGACCTCCCTGAGACCCGCCTGAGACGTTGTCTTCAATGGAGGACGATCTCAGGGGGACTCGATCAGGAGCTGCCAGCGGCCGAGTCTCCAGGTGCTGACAGGGTGATTGCTCAGTCTCAAGCGGGGCCCCGGTCAGCGCTCTGCAGTGTCCTCAACGACACGCGTGAATGGACGCCCCCTACGTGGATGGAAGGATTCACCATCATCTTCTTAAGAAGTTTCTCATTACGGCTTTCAGGAGGCTAAAAGGTGACTAATTCTGAACCCTGAAACATGGAACCCAATTCTGCACACATGGAGAAAGCTCAGCAGGATGGTGATGGAGTAGTTCAGTGGGGAAATAGATGGTATTTCCATCTATTTCATCTATTACTCATCTAATAGATGAGTAGCTCAGAGATGCTCTCTCTAGAGCCAAAAAGATAGGATTCAAATCTCTACCCCACTCTTTACTAACATTTCTTACCCCCTCTCCACCTCCAATTTCTCCTCTGCAAAGTGAGGAGAATAATGCCAACTCACGTTAGACTGTTGAAAGATTTAAATTAAAAACATGTACTTAGAGCATCTAGCGCTATGTTTCATGCAAAGAAGCCCTCCGAAAAGAATTAGCTGCCTTCCCCTTCTTTCAGCAAATGGAAAAGAGACAATTGATCTCCTAGCTTGAAGGAGGACGTGTCTCAGA